GGTAAACACCCCAGGGTTTTCTATATTCATTTTATTAAAAACTTTTAGACACCCATTTAATCCTTTATTGAAGTGTATAATAGCATTATACGACCCAAATTTAATTGTTTTGAGCGAAACAAAAACTTCCTTCGGTACTTTTGCCGAACTATTCCATTAAAATACTCGTTGGCATTTTGCGTGCGTCCATGCAAGCACTTACTTAATATCTGTTTGTCGCATAGTTCTAAATATACTGGTTTAATTTTATTTAAAACATCATTTGATATACCAGCATATTTTTTGTGGAACATTGTGTTCCATTTGCCATCCCCCGCTGAAAATAACACCAGCTTTCTTTCCCTATTGGGCATTGACCATGCATCGGTTTCTTATTACTTGATGCACAGTGATATAACGCAGCAATTACATTTTGCTGCATGGCATTTAAGTTACCGACATTGCTGTGAACAGAAATTCCGTAATAGTTTTGAAGTATGTCAATAAAATTATCAGTTAATTTGCCTTTACCAGACAGTCCTTTAGTTTTAGTTTTCACAGACGCGAACCCACTCTCTTTTGTACATGGCCAATGCACTCAAACTTGGTCACACTGTTTAATCCATAAGTGTCTTTTACACTCATGAAAGCTTTTGAGTCGCCATCCCCATAATATTGAGTGTGTAATGCAGTCTGCGTTTTTTCAGATCGAAGAAATATTCGGGAAGCCCCCACAATTTCCATTTTTGATGAAGAGCCTGTGAAATTACACTGACATATGTGGTCGGCTTTTGACGACTCATGTTCAAAGTTTCTTGGCATAGTCTGAAGTCTCTTACAAGTTGGACAGTAGGACGACATAACTTCTATGTCTAGCACCTTACCAGTATCCACTGATATTGCAGCAACACAGCCATTCATAGATGTATAGCCTCTTCGCTGTCATGTACCATCTACCGATATGCCACATTTTACAATATCGGATGAGAGATTTTGTTTTTTTCTCCACAATTTCAGTAGCAGCTTTTATCATGGATTCCTCAGCTACTTCCTGAACCACTTTTAAAGCTTTGCATCCTGATTTTTGTAAGCAGTTTTGGTTAGTCGAGGCAAATTTAATGTTGAGCATAATTTAAATGCCCCAGCAAAACCTTTGCCTATCTGCCGCATATCATATACTAGCCTGGTATTTATGACAGGTGCACTACTTTTTTTTGATGAAGCAAATGCAAAAAAGTCACAACACTTACATTTTAGTGTAAAATGGGAGCACAATCCATATCTGGAATCCTCGAATAGTTCTACTTTTTCAGCAAAATATTTTGGGCAGCAAAGTTGAGCAAAAGCTTCCACAATAAGTTCAAGGTCAACGATTCTGTTACCAAACACAGGACCAGGCAATTATTTCTTCTGCAGTTGACAAACTCTCATTTCCCAACAGCTGACAGTACATTCAGGAACTGCTTAAGTGCTATTATTTTTCGAAGTGTTTGTGAATTTATTACCATAAAATTGCCGCTTGCGCTTTTTTAGCAATACTTTTAACTATTTTTAAGTTAAAATAAAACAATCAAATAAACTTTTACGCTGTCAATTCTTTCAGCGTGAAAATCAAATGCATATGTAAACAAAGTCAAAACAACAAACTTGCTGCCAGGTTTTACACATAAAAAAAGGAAAAATGTATTTCCAAATACATTTATATTTATTCTTAAATGTTCTATTTTAATTTCTGACTAAATATTTGTATATTAATTATAATATTTTATGTCATATACCAAGAAAGAGAAACGTAAACAAACAACTCGGCCACTTCCGGTTAGCAGAAACTATTTCGGGTCCGAGAAATTTATGATTAAATAATATTGAAAAACTGTAACTCGGCTTCTAATTAAGATAGAAACAAAAATTTAAACAGATTTAGAAAGATAAAAGATTGAACTTTAATATAAGACCAAAAACGAAAAAGTCGATATTTTGACCAAAAATTGAGTTTTAGAGGTGTTCTGTCACCTTAAATAATTATGCATTTGTATATATTTATGTATCATATACGATTTAAATGTCAATGAGTCTTATTATTTAAAAATATATATATGCATAAATAATTTGTGTATATTAAATTTATATAATATATATGTTTATATACGGAACTTACGTACTATCGAAACAATACCAACGTTCAAAATAACTCCCCCAGTTGGCAATTCTGATTTCCCATGCGTCGTACGCACTGAATTGGCAACCATGAGCTTCCTTTAAAATATAAGGTCGCCAATACCGTTACGATATTGTGTAAGTACCGTTTATATTACGCCGTAAACTATTTAAGGCTAGGAAAACTTATTCCCTGAGAGCCTTTTACTTTTCTTAAAATTCTCTAAGCAAACAAAAGGAGAGGGCTCGTACTTTTCACAATGTTTTTATTTTCTCGTAATCTCTTAGTGGTCATCACTAATATAAACAAAAATATTGGAAACTTTCTTTTTAATTAACTTCTTTAAAATTTCAGATTTTAATTCTTTTCGCACATTTTTGAGCTTAACAGCTCTTTCTAATGAATCAAAAGATAGATCACATGTTTCGATTCCTCTTGTCTTCAATCTCCTGCATAAGAATAATCTACCAAAAGCTATCGTGTAGCTGAACAGTGCGACGTTAATATTCCCTAACTCGCATATAAGAATAATCTCCCCCCCACTATTTCCACTCGCTTATCTCTCGTTCATTCGCTGGAGTTACATGGAAGTGGACTGCAAGACAGTGATATTTAAATAAGAAAAGTAAAACTACTTGGGGAAAAAATGTGTATGAAATTTTTACTTAAAAACACGCTCCTAATGGTTCCACGCACTTCTGGCTGAATGGCTACGTCAACAAACAAAACTGTCGCATTTGAGTGAAGCTAATCCACAAGTGTATGTCGAAACACCGTTACATCCAGAAAACTGACTGTTTGGTGCGCTTGATGGGCTGGTGGAATCATTGGTCCGTACTTCTTCAAAAACGATGAAGGCCACAACGTTACAGTCAATGGTGATCGGTACAGAGCCATGATTACTAACTTTTCATTCCTGAATTGAACAATCATGATGTCCAGGAGCTGGGGTTCCAACAAGATGGCACAACATGTCACACAGCTCGTGCCCCAATCGATTTACTGAAAGACACGTTGGGTGACCGCCTAATTTCACGTTTTGGACCTGTGAATTGACCTACAAGATCTTGTGATTTAACACCGCTAGACTATTTTCTGTGAGGCTATGTAAAGTCATTGGTCTATGCTGATAAGCCACAAACGCTTGACCATTTGGAAGACAACATTCGCCGTATATTGCCGATATACGGCCACAAATGTTGGAAAAAGTCATCGAAAATTGGATGTCCAGATTGACTACATCCGAGCCAGCCGTGGCAGTCATATGCCAGAAATCATTTAAAATGTAATGCCACAAGATTATCTTTCAGAATAAAAAAATTCATGTCAATCGAATAATACATCGTTGTTTTATTGCAATTTAAAGTTCTATACCTCTAAAAGAACACCCTTTACTATCTTTAAAACCCGTTATATTATGGTGTTTGATGGTTAAAGGATGAATTTACTGGCAGGAACAAAAAAAACTGTATTTATCATCACGTTCACTCAATAACCATGATGTAATTAGTATCGTTGGATCATCGGTTTCTTGTGAGAGCACCTTTATTCGATTGCCGGCAACATCACAAGAGAGATGAGCGAAACCGCTTAGATCCCAGTAGACTTGTTTTTAAAAAGCTTAGATATTAAGCATTGGGAACTATAAGCTATATTATCCATTTTCTAACCCTTTTAATGTAACAAATACATTTAGAAAATAAATGTCGTCTTTTATACCTGATACTTTGATAGATGGAAATAAAAATAATTGTAAGTGTAGAATTTCCTGTGAACTAAAAAAGATCTTAGATTTTACTGATAAGAGATCATTTGTTATGGTATCTTTCTTGTTTTTCATGAAATGGATTTATATTTACATTGCAAATGCAGACTTAAAAATCGATCGTTTAGACCTCGATTTTTTTTTGTGAATCGATTCATCAGGTTACGATTCGAATCGATTTAAAAAATCAATCTCTTTGAAAGAACCGCCATCCCCAATTTGGTGATTAGCTCTTAGCTGTGCTCTTCCACCACTTCGTCGATATTGTTACGTTGATCGGGGTTCAACGATTTTATGCAAATCAGTCGCAAAGAACAAGGCAGTTAAGAGCGACGAGAATTTATTGTCGAGAAAACAATCCTTTAAATACAGGATTCAACAGCGATATTCGCAGAATAAATCTCACACCTTCAACAGCACTCAGACACAATTATCGGTGTTTAAAAACACGTAAGCAAAAGATTATCCACAAGCACCGCTCGTCCGAGCTAATCGGTATGGCCGCGGTAGCCGAGTGGTATAGGTATCGATCGTGGCTTGCCTTGTCCCGAGTTCGAGCCTAGTACCACTAAAGACCCACCGTGTAGAGCAGCGATGCACGTTAAATCTGTCGAGAGCTGAAACGTCCTCCCGTTGGTGTGATGCAATAGTTAGGAGAAGGGGGTGCCTGCTCAGGTGTCGTCACGTCACCTGACCATAGTTCAAAATTACATGGTCTGTCACCAAAAGCCCTCGTGTAGCTGAACAGTGCGACGTTAATATTCAATCGAGCGAGCTAATCGGTAATCACGGTTAAGGAAAATCTACTAATCGCTGGTCGAGACAAAACTGACTCAGTTCGGATAGCGTCTCCCGATTTATTGGTCAAGAGGAATCTTCGAGAAAGATCCGCTTGCGTCATAAATCGAGAAATTAGTGTATTTTTCCAATAATTTCCAGACGAATACAGAGGGTATGGAACTCGCCAAAAATGGTCCCCAAAAAATGATGCCAACTAGGCTCTATCGTCAGGATTTAGCCAAGTTCCCACTGAATCACCATTATAACAAAAGGTACGGCGTTGCTAGTGAATATTACAATTTTCACTTGGCCACCCATCCGGTATAGTGGTTAGTAACGCTGACTGAGGATCCGTAGGGCCTGGGTTCGAATCCCGAGAAGAAGGCATGAATGTTTGTAAATGTATAGTGCCTTCGCGATATGGGGGTACTCTAAATAGCCGTCGAGACGCAAGTCCTCTCGTGAGGTTGGTGGAAGGGGAAAAGAGGTGGGAGACCTTGACCATCGCCAGTGTTCTCTTTCAAAATTGGGGTGGAACCGAGCAAAATCGTACAGTCATCTACATGGTGCTCGAACCCAAGGCGTAAAAATCTAGCCTTTCGCCACGATGAATTTCGTGGACCTTTATATGATGTTACTATCGATCAGGGGGCATAAGTAACAAATACAAAACAACACAATTTTAACAAAGTAATTTAAATGCATTACGCATCCAATTACAAATTATTTACACTATTTTATACAAAATTCGTAACAATATACCTGTTCTGCATTTATTTTCTCAAAATCTCAGCCAAAGACACAATCTCGTGTATTTTAGACTCTAGAGCAGGGATGGCGAACCTTTTGGGTCAACGTGCCATTTTCTCTAAAGAAATGTTTAATGAGTTCTAGGCGTGCCATCAAATAATTTTGATTTGTGATTATTGGGAAACTAATAAAAACTAAATACGAACAAATCAAAATTCTTTACTTAATGCGAAAAAATACATATTGCCCAGTATAGTAGTAAGTGTTTTTAGTTATAAATGTAATTTAAATTAAAGTAACAGTGTGACTTCTGTTGTTGTAGATTAGATGACAACTTATATCAGTGTTATATAAGATGTTACTTTTAGCAGAATGCATGCTGAATTAGAGTTGTCTGCTAAACGGTTTCCAAGCGAGTCTTTGATGTTATTTATCTCTGAAAATAATGACTCGCAGGCATAGGTAGATGGAAATATGGTTAAAATAGCATAAGCCATCTTCTTCAAACAGTTAAATGCGGCTGGAATCGATTTTCAAGTTTCCAAAATTTCGTTACCGGCATTTTTACTTATATTGCTTGTCAATCTTTTGGTTCAATCAATTCCAACTTTTTCCTTGTTTCAATAAACTTTTGAATCCATATTGAGCTAGAGTGGAAATCAATCAGTTGCATTTCAAATTCTTCAATTTCCAACCAATCGAATTGGGACAAGTTCAGTTTATCAAACGAAATCACATCAGGATACATAATAAATTTGAACATTCCGAATAATTCCTTGAAATGAAAAAAATCTCGCGGAAAATTCTTTGATTAAAGAATCAATTACGGAAATAAATTTATCAATAACTGTTTCTTCATTTCATTTCTCTAGGGCATCTAAATCTTTGATATTTTTTCAAGTTTGGGAAGTACTTGTAGTTTCTTGTCATAATATCGTTTCTGAAAACATACAGTTTAGCTTCAAAAGTTCTGTTTTATTCGGGTCTTGAAGCTTTACGTTCAATTCATTGAAATGTTGGCATACATATGTTTGTAAAAACATCAATTTTAAAAGCCACATAACATCCATCATTTGTTCAATTTTGCTCTCATTTTGTAAAAAAAAAAAACAGTCTGATTTCTTCAAAACAATCAACAAATCTTTGAAGTACGTTCCCGCGGCTCAACCAGCGAACATTCTTATACATTAGTATAGGCCATTATACACCGAATTGACTTCATCCAACAAAGCATCAAACTTTGGCTTGTTTAAAGCCTGCGACGATATGAGGTTGACTATTTTTGTTTCTAGCATTATTACATTATCAAGAGATGTTAAACCACTCTTTGCACATAAGGCTTGTTGGTGAATAATAAGGTGACCAGTTTTTTTACAATAAAAGGAGGGGTGCATGCGAAAAAATTTCAGAAAAGTTACAACGTAAATATATAAAACATTTTATTAATTCAAATACAAATACGCTAATTATGCGTGCATTCCTTTTAATTATTTACCTAAGAGTGTATTTTCCCATTGAATATCTTTTTTGTCAATATATCATTTTCTAATGCATCGGGAATTTCGACCAAAAATATCCTTTATACTGAGCTTTACAGTAAGTGCTACAGCTAAAGTATCAACATTCAATCTTGATTTCTCACTTGTCCAAAATCATTAGCAACTGAAAAAACTCTTTCAATTTCTGCTTTAGTTCCAGGTCAGCACAACGTAAATTCGTGAAGAATAACTAAATTATCATATGGAAAGTGTTCATTTTAGAAATGGTTAAGTATTTCTACCCATCAGGGCAGCAAATTCTAGGGGTGGTATTTGGATCGAATTTGAAAACATTTTTTTCTGTTACAAAAAATTGATATATTTTCAGGAAGACTATTGGGTGTGAATTTAGTATTTCATTTAACGTATCTACTTCCTTATTTTGTACTCTGTATGTGTATAATGTCAGTTTTCTTTTATGTTGAAACTTAAGAGTTCGAGGCTGGAGTATATGCTCAATAATGAAATTTGATAAGCTTTACACTAGTAACTTTCCCCATCCTGGAATATGGTCACAACGGACATTCCTTTCACCATATGACGTTCGGTGTCAGCTATCCAAAAGGGGACAGGAGCAATAAGTGTTTTTATAGATAGAGACTCACAGGAGATGTTTTATTTTAGTCTTGAGTGTACTACTATATATTAAATAAACCATCGGTAGACTCTTTTTAGAAGAAATTAGCGTGCTGAAATGGGATATTCCTTCTCTTACACTTTACTCGTTTGAAATTATAACAGGTAATTATGTCCTTAGTTTCGAATTATCTTGTACGCATATATATGCTGTAATGTTGCCTTTTGTTCGCAAGAATTATTCAAGCTTTATAGGTGTGAATCCATGTGAACAATTTATCTTTTTGAATTATAATTTCTTTGCTTTGGAGAGAGGAAGGCATATTTTCCATTTTTTTCCGGGATGGCAAAATTGCTAGAGCCGGCCCTGTACCCATCTTTTATCAATTTCAGCCTGATAATTTATCAATTGTTCCAATTTATCAGAATTTAAATATACATTCAGTCTTCTAATTTATTCAAACAGACAATTGTCATCAATTTTAATATCAGGCATTTCTTTCAGTAAAAGCTGAATACAATTTTCTATATCTGCCAAATTTACTAGCGATTAAGTCAGCAAACAACATTGGAAACTGTTATTTCCTGTGATATTTGTTTCAGAACATTCTTCGACTTATTGGAAACATGTTGGGTTCAACTCTGAATAGAAAGTAACAGATCAGTTTTTTAAAATATTGAAAAGGAAGACAAGTAGGAAGACACTTTTCGAGGAAGGATAGAACCTATAAAAGGAGGACTGTCCTCCCTAAAGAAGGACAGTTGGTCACCTTATGAATAATGCAGTGACATTCAATAATTGAATGTCCTACGTCTGTTTTAAAAAAGAAATGAAACCGCTTTTTTTTTTTTTTTTGCCTACCATATTTGGAGCACCATCAGTGGTTACTGAAAACTATTTTTTTTTCAAATCAATGTTTTTCTCAGCAAGTGAAAATTTCTTACTGTCGTACAAATATCTGTGCCCTTTTAGTTGTTAATAACGATGTTATCGCAATTAATTCTTCCTTAATGACGTTTCCTACACAATATCGAGCAAAGACAGCTAAACGTGCAGATTTAGTGGTGTCAATACTTCCTTCAAGACATTGATATAAAAGGAGCGGAGATAGTGTCCATTTTTGTTGATCTGTAACATTTTCTGCCAATTTCAAGATTCTATATTTCATTGTGTTTCTAGATAGAGGAACATCTTTGATGCGCTGAAAAATATCTTATCTTTATTATCAAAATCATCAAAAAGTGAGGGCGCGCATGCCAACCAAGCTTCCTTCAAAAACTCTCCCTCTTGAAAAGGTTTACCATGCCGAGCAATGGCATTTGCAGCCGAGTAATTTTGCCGCACTTGTGTGACAATTTTTTGCTTACATATTTAATTATAGACGTCGACTGTTTATTTCTGCCTTTTATTGCACTTGCAATTAATTCTTTTGCTCTGGTTCACTTTTTCATAAAAGGATTTTAGGATTTGTTTCAAAAAATACCGTTTTACAGACAATGTTCTGCATACCTCTGTTCCGGAACAAAAAAACACACACCGCTTTGTCGCCTTTACTGATCATGCCTATTTCTCAGTCCACCAAGCTTGAAATTCTCTGCTACACTTACTATTTTGCACTTTTTTTTTTTTTTTTTTGTTGAACTAGCCATGTTAAATACCAGCTAAAAATCGTAGATTTAACACAAATAAACTTTAAATATACAGTTATGTCAACGAAATTGACTATTCTATGTGCTCTCGCTTGGTCACAAAAAAAACCCCTTTCACTGACTGCGGGCGCATGCGCAGATTTTTTGTTTTTGGAAATTGAGTACTTGTACGAAATCTCTGTAGTGTCTGCTCTTTCGCTGCTCTCTCAGGTCATTAAAAAATTTTTAATCAATCCGTGAGGGTCACTTGATGAATTAGACTTATAAGACAAGAATTAGATCGCATTGAAAAATTAGATGTATACGAGCTGAGAACCATTAATATAAACGTTAGAATATATTTTTTAAACAACTTGAATATGTATCTAGAAAGAAATGAATAATAAATGAATTAAACAACTTGAATGTATATCTATCACAACCACTATGCGTTGATAAACTTTGCATCATTAGCAATTATAATACACGACGTAACTATGTCGAATCTTTACGAACCTTTCCACTAATATTCTTAGGCATCTTTGAGGATTGTAAATTCGCGTATATTTTCAATCACCTCTAAAAAGAAGAATATAGGGATATGCAAAGAGATAAAGGTATTTAAGGAGAGCGTTGTAAGTTAGCGGAGAAGGCGATTGAGCCAGCAGAAGTAGTGACGATTTGAAGGATTCAATTTACGATATTGAGCATTGCTGTCATCATTCAGCGAAGGGAACCTTAGGAGGTTAATATACCTGAAGAGATCATAAGTACCACAGGTGATATATTCTTGATTAGTACCGCTTACCACACACACACACACACACACACACACAAGCATTAAGTTTTAATAAAATTAGTTCAAGTTTAATGAAAAAGCTTATAATTCAAGT